TATATTTATTTCAGAGAGGAAGGGAGAGGGAGAGAGAAATATCAATGATGAGAGAGGATCACTGTCGGCTGCCTCCTGCATGCCCCCTATTGGGGTGGGGATTAAGCCCACAAGCCCTTGACCAGAATCAAACCCAGGACCCTTCATTCTGCAGGCTGACGTTCTACCCACTGAACCAAACCAGCTAGGGCAAAATGTTTATTTTTATTAGAGGCCTGATGCATGAAATTCATATAAGAGTAGGCCTTCCTTCCACTGGCTTCCCTCTGGCACCTGGAACCTGGGCTTCCCTTGCAGCCCTGGCTTCGTCCGGAAGGTCGTCCAGAAGGACATCCAGTATAATTAGCATATTATGCTTATACTAGTGTCCCAGTGCACAAAATCGTGCACGGGGGGTGGGGGTGGGTGGGGATGTCTCTCAGCCTGGCCTGCACCCTCTCCAATCTGGGACCTCTCGGGGGATGTCCCTCTCGCAATCCGGGTCCGCTGGCTCCTAACCGTTCACCTGCCTGCCTGCTTGATCGCCCCTAACCACTCTGCCTGCCAGCCTTCTTGCCCCCAACTGCCGGCCACGCCAGCCTGCTCACCTCCAACTGCCCCCCGCCCCGCTGCTGGCTTGCTTGCCCCCAACTGCCCGCCCCCCGCCGACCTGCTTGCCCCCAACTGGCCCCCTGCCAGCCTGCTTGCTCCCAACTGCCACCCCCAACCCATCAGCCTGATTGCCCCTAACTGCCTCTGGCTTTGTCCGGAAGGACATCCGGAGGTCTCCCGGTCTAATTAGCATATTACTCTTTTATTAGTATAGATTATTATAGACTAAGAGGCCCCTCTAAGGAGGAGGGTCCCTCAGCCCAGCCTGTGCCCTCTCACAGTCCAGGACCCCTGGGGGATGTCTGGGACCCCTCGCTCGTTACTGCCCACCTGCTCACTGCTCCATAGCACTGCCACAGAGGTTGAAGAGGCTCCCGCCACCACCAATGCGCTCGCCAGCCGTGAGCCCAGCTTCTGGCTGAGTGGGAGCGCACTGACCACCAGGGGGAAGCTCCTGCGTTGAGTTTCTGCCCCCTGGTGGTCAGTGCACATCATAGCGACTGGTCGTTCTGCTGTAATGGTCACTTAGGCTTTTATTACATAGACTAGAGGCCCTGTGCATGAAATTCATGCATGCAGGGGGTCCCTCAGCCTGGCCTGTGCCCTCTAGCAGTCTGGGAGCCCTTGGGGGATGTCTGACTGACGGGAGTGGGCCTAAGCCGGCAGTCGGACATCCTTAGCACTGTCACGGAGGTTGGAGAGGCTCCCGCCACCACCACTGCGCTCGCCAGCCGTGAGCCCGGCTTCTGGCTGAGTGGCACTCCCCCTGTGGGAGCACACTGACCACCAGGGGGCAGCTCCTGTGTTGAGTGTCTGCCCCCTGGTGGTCAGTGCACGTCATAGTGACCGGTTGTTCAGTCCATTTGCATATTACCCTTTTATTATATAGGATTACTTAATCCCAATGGCACTGCTTTATTTAAAGGACAGTTTACATCAATTTGCATTCACAACCCGAGGGCCGTGCAAGTGAAGAGTAACTTAATTTCTTCAATATATACCATACTATTTAAATGTGAAAGGTTACCACAAAGGTCAGCAAAAACTATCTGCAGCCTCATTTACGCTATCAGAGGCGAGCAAGAGAGAAGGCCACCTACCTCTAAGGTGAACGACAGCACCACGTCAGACTTGGACAGCTGAATCTCACTCTCATCTCCTATGTCCAAAAATGCAGAATTCTGGGAGCGTTTTAATTTCTGTAGTTTAAACTCTGGACCACCTTTCGAAACTGGAAGACTTTCCAAGTTGGCCATTAGCAAATTCACTGAGGATCGCAACTCTTCTATGTACATAGTCTCCATTTCTTTTGTTATGAATTTGGGGAATTTTCTTTCCTTGAAAAGAATTTTTAAAATAACAGTGTTACACAAGTCATATTTCTAGTTGTTCATAAAACACATTTGGCATATAGTAACTCTTAGAAATTGCAACACTAGACATAATGCATCTACTTTAGTCTCTAGGCTTTAAAAGCCTCAGGCTCTGGCGAATTTGATTATATCTGAAGGTACATGATATACCCTACTAAAGATCATTATGGTACAAAATGAATAACATTATATACATTTCCACATTAACTTTATTTTTCATGAGGTATTTGCTTAAAGGATAAACAAACTCTGAAAATATACATGTAAGAAGTTTTAGTGTACAGATGAATCTTAATTAGCCACTGTTAGCTTTGAAATTCTTGGGATATCTGGCCTGAGAACAATGTTCATTGTGCACTGTTTTGACTTTTAGGAAACAAATTTTTTAACAATATCTTTCCTTCTTAACACACATGTGCATTGTTTGGAGGTTATGCTTTTTATAAATAAGCATTCAAAGGCAAAAAAAAAGCCAAGGTCAGAATATTAAATAGCAATACAGTCATATTTCTAAAATTGCTTAATTTTCAATATGTCAAGATCCCTTATGTCCATAAATTCAGATTTTTAGTAAAGCCTTAGAAAATATTAAGTTTAAAGCAAAGAAACAATTTATGATAAAAGCTTAAGGTAAAAAATAACAATATCGAAGTTAAAGATTCTATGTTTTCTGAATTACATGAGCATTGCCATTCAATCCTGCTACCTCTGCAATCAGATTTGTTTCTTCCACTCAACTAAAAGCACATTCCAAATGTTGATATTTACATAGGATATTGAGAGAGATTGCCAAACTGTTCTTAGAGAAGATTATATACATTTATACTCCCACACACAGCAAATGAGGTTTCCTCACACTCTTAGCTCTGTCTTTAATCTCTGACAACCTGACACTTAGCTCTTCTCTTAAAGGTAGAGGGTATAGAGCTTTAGAATGTCAAGTGCAGTGTAACATAACCACCACTGTACACTACTGGCCGGGGTGAGAGCAAAGCAGACATCTTTCAGATAATCGCCTAAATTTCCAGAAAACCAAGGCCTTCACTGTTGTTTCCTGTGGCATCATTCAAAACATCAGCTAAGATCTGCACCTCTGTGTGACTGGACCACATCCAGCGCGCGCTCATCAACCGGCAGGAGGCTCGGCCTCACCGGCACCAGTTCGTTCTCACGATGGGAAGAACATCTGGTGTCACTTTTCAACTCAGTCCCAGACTCTCAGACCACCTGCTCTGCTTTTCCCCCACGTAAATTTCACATGTTTTTCTTAAAGTAATTTACACATAATCAATATTAAACTGCATATTTATTACCGCAGAATGATTAAAATTCTACATGGATAATTAACCTCCCCAAGGAAGATTAAGTATCCTTTCAACATTCCTCTATTGTTTTTTTTAAAATATATTTTATTGATTTTTTTACAGAGAGGAAGGGAGAGGGATAGAGAGCCAGAAACATCGATGAGAGAGAAGCATCGATCAGCTGCCTCCTGCACACTCCCCACTGGGGAGGTGCCCGCAACCAAGGTACATGCCCTTCACCAGAATCGAACCTGGGACCCTTCAGTCCGAAGTCCGACGCTCCATCCACTGAGCCAAACCGGTTAAGCTCCTCTATAGTTTTAAGCAACATTCCAAAATAGCAAGTTTGCCTCCACAGTAAAAAAATATATATGTAAGTACAAAGTTACAGAATACCTTGATTACCTTTGGGAAAAAAAAATAATGCTTTGGGATGGTTTTTCTGTACACATACCAGAAAAAAAAAGCAAAATAAGCCATAATAACTGAATTTTACACTTGCGAACCAATTTTATTAGCTGTCATAAAAAGCATCCAAAACTTAGAAATAGGGCAAAAAGCTGAGGGGACAGTTCCTTTCAATGTCATGTGCGGGAAAAGGCCATCCAAGGATCATCTGAGGAAATGTGCTTATTTCAACTTTCTGTTTGCTATTGATTAAAGCTCCCAGACAGTGAAGTTACATGTTACCTTATAGACATTTCTCTAAATCACATGTAAATAATCTGTGTCTGGTGAGTAGAATAATCCAACAGTTATAATTTAAATCCTAGTTGGAAATTAATCCCTTTTATATCTCTATTAATCTTATTTTACCTTTGACCCAAATACCCAGTTTTCAAACACCCTCCAGTTTAGATTAGTTTTTTTTAATTTCTTTTTATTGATTAAGGTATTACATATGTGTCCTTATCCCCCCATTATGGACTAGTTTTAATATCTAACTAGTTTGCTCATTAATTATGCATTGAATGAAATCTTCATTGTATGTTCATTTTATATTTGTATAAGAGTCATAATTGTGCCTTTTAAAAATTATACTTTAGCAAAGCAAAAGGCAAATATATCACAAGTTTGAAAGTTTGTATGTTCCATTTTTATTTTTCAAATTTTGGGGGTTTTATTTTATGGCAAATAGCATTGGCCCATGAAAAAAATCTATTCTTTTTTTATTGATACTATTACAGATGTCCTCCATTCCCTTCCCAAACACTTGCCCACCTCCACCCAGCCCCCACCAATGTGTCCCTTGGTCTTCACTACATTGTTGTCTGTGTTCATATATATCCCCCCCCCTTTGGATACTGTCTATTCTTATTTACCTTTAATTAAAAACACTTCATTCACTATCATGTTTCAATGAGAAGACTGTTAGGAATCACCAAACTTAAATATTATGTCAGCATTTTCAAACTTTTAAGAAAATAGACTATACTAGAATATTTTTCTCTTTGAAAAAAAAAGTGACAACTCTGTTTAAATGCTTTTAGGTTTACTGATAGTACTTCATAAACCTTATTTAACTTGCCTGTGTTACCTATTTCTTGGAAACAGACCAATTATACGTCAGACAAGTATACATGTTAAATGCGATCTTTTAAATTAAAACAGCATCAGAAATAGGGTTACTCTCTGGTTTAACTCTGAATCACCAAGTGTCTGCTATGTGTTCTATTCTAGGCCCTTAGGATGTAACCACAAAGATACTGATTTAAAAAAAATCCTCTGTACTATAGAGCCTAAATTTTACTGTGAGGAGACATATATCATAAATAAGGAGATCATTTCAAAAGGTAGAAAGTGATCAGTGGGAGAAAAAGCCCAGATGGCGACATGGAGTGTTAAGGTGTTGTAAATAGGGTGGCCAGGGAAGGACTCAATGAGGGGATGACCTTTAAGCATAAAAGTAGATGAAGGAGTAAGATAATTAATTTTATATGTCAACTCGGCTACACTATGGTGCCGCTGTTTGGTCAAACACTAGTCTAGATGATGCTGTGACGATAATTTTTAGATATGATTAGCATTTACAATAAGTAGACTGTCCTCCCATATCTGAGTAGGCCTCATCCAATCAGTAGAACACCTTAAGAGTAAAGCAGCAATTCTGCCTCAATACTGTAATATCAAAACTTACCTGAGTTTCTTGCCTGTTGGCCTGCCCTGCAGATTTTGAATTCAAGACTACAATATCGGCTCTTCCTTGAATTCCAAGCCTACTACATTGCCCTATAGGTTTTGGACTTGCCAGCCCTACAACCATATGATCCAATTCCTATACATCAAATCAATCAGTTAATATTTCTCTAAACATATATATTTATACAGACATATAGACACACATATCCTTATGCATATATGTATATATATTATGTGTGTGTGTGTATATATATGTATATATGTATATATATATAACTGTACATGAAATTATATTATGTCTATATGTATATCTATTATGCATATATATCTATGTCCAGAGATAATCAATAGGAGATCATATATCTATATTGGTTCTCTTTCTCTGGAGATATCTGTTTAATTCTGGGAGAAAACCACTGCAGGAAGGGAAAGTAACCAGACCAAAGACCCTATGGCAGGAAGACCAAGAAGGCTGACACAGCTGGGGTGGACTGAGCAAAAGTGAGAGCTTGAAGGATGACAAGGTCAGAGGAGGAATTCGCAGGCCACTGTAGGAACTTATCATTTTATTCGTGGTGACATGGGGAGAGGTCTTTGTGCAGAGAATCCTGGCTGTCTGGTTGAAGTAGAAACTAGGAGCCTAGCCAAAGGACAGAATGGTGGTTCAGGTGAGACACAATGGTAACTGGACCAGAGTGACAGGTGGAAAACAGTGACAACTGTTAAGTCCCGGAAATATTTTGAACACAGGTGCAAACAGAGTTCCTAATAAATTTGGCATGAGGTATGAGAAAAAGAAAGGAGTCAAAGATGATCCCAAGTTTTTGGACAGAGTAACTGGAAATACAGCATTTCCAATGACTGGCCTAGTCTGACCTCTTGCCTGAAAATTGTAACCACCCTTCCTCTCTGTTGTATTTTCCAAATTATCAAATGATCACCTTCCACAATTCAGTTATATAGCACCGGGGTTCTCCCAAATAAAATTTAAGCTCCACCATGGCATGGCAGAAATATTTTTGTCTGGTTTTATCCCAGGACAACTACATTTGTCTAGATCAGCAGTTCTCAACTTGTGGGTCGTGACCGCTGATGGTCACAGGGTCGCCTAAGACCATTGGAAAACACATATCTAATTACATATTGTTTTTGTGATTAATCACTATGCTTTAATTATGTTCAATTTGTAACAATGAAATTGAGGGTCACCACAACATGAGGAACTGTATTAAAGGGTCGCGGCATTAGGAAGGTTGAGAACCACTGGTCTAGATGCATCCCAAGCACTTAAAACAGAGCCTGGCTATTTTAATAGGTATTCAAAAATATTTTGGCTCCAAAATTCAGGCTCCAAAAGGTCAAATAACGTGTCTAATGTTATATATCTAGGAACTAATGACGGATTTGACCACAGGTCTTTCTGGTCCTGTCCACATTTTTTCTCCTACTTCCTAATTATACCTTGGCTGAAATATTAAAATCAATATTTCTATCTCTTGGAACAGAAATTTCTGCCCTGTGGTTTTATTATATCGTGTTGTTGAACAGTGTGGTAGAAGATGTGACTGATTGTCAACTACTAACTATTAATACACACTTCCGGATTTATCAGACTGAAGAGTCAGCCGGGTCTCAGACAGAGGGGCCAGGTTCTGGAGTCAAAAGACAAGGGTTCGAGGCCTGCCTCCACCACTTACTTGTTATAGAATCTGGGTGAACTCAATCATCTTGCCTAAGCCTCGATCTCCTTGTCTATAAAATAAATTCATTATATTATCTACCTTTGTTGGGTGAGTAGAATTAGTTAGAGATATAATCCAACAAGGTCAACAAGTTGTAATTAGCCTTATAAATATTTTATAAAGATGGCTTAAATTTGGTGACATTGAAGGAGAAAACAATTAAACATGCTCTATGTCAATAGTCTATTCAACAGAAATTATCTTATTTTTTAAAAAATCCTTCCATATTTCTTTTTATTAAATATTTTTATGTTTTTATTGATTTAGAGGGAGAGAGAGATAGAAACATCAGCAATGAGAGAGAACCATCTCTCAGCTGCCTCCTACAAGCCCTCTACTGGGGATCGAGCCCGCAACCCAGGCAAATGCCCTGACCAAGAATTGAACTATGATCTCCTGGTTCATGGGTCGACACTCAACCACTGAGCCACACTGACTGGGCTAAAAGGCATCTTATTTTTGTGTTGTTGTTTTTTTTCCCATCTGATCCCATTGGCTTCACTTCCTTCTCCACATTTCCTACTTTATCACATTTCTGATAAAACCATCAGGGTCCCCTCAAATAAAAGTCTGAGTGTGTATCACAGGCCCTTCTCCTCTGACTCAGTCCAGAGGTTATTAACACACATCCCCCTCTGCAAACAGAAACAAGAGAGCATATCAAAGGCCTCCCTTCTGTTCTATAAACCCTCTAGAAAATTATCTAAACTTTATCCTAATGTGTCAGATATTCAGCAAGGCCATTGGAGAAGCAAGTCCAATTTATGACAATGTGCACAGTCTCGGGTACAATCTACATACAAGCAGGCAACTTACAAATGCTGAGCCCAGGAGCAGAGTCCTGCCCCAAGGTGTCTGGCACATTCCTCTGAATTCTCTCTCAGCCTCAGGTTTTTAAGAAAAGCGAATGCCCTTCCAACCAGCTGTCAATTTAGGTAAGGGTTTCAAGGAAAGTGTTTTTCTCTCTAAAGCTTCCAAAAGCCTGCAGCTTATTGATTTCTATCCTATGATCCCATATTCCAATTTCTAGATTATGTGCTGCCTCTCTGGAAATCCAGGGGATGGCAACATGGCAAATAGTGCTGCCAAACACTGCTCTTTTTGTGAATGTAATGTTTTAGCCCCAATTCATATCATCGTATGACCTCTCTCCTCTAGAGTTTACTCCTTATACAGGGGTGGGCAAAAGTAGGTTACAGTTGGTTGTATGGAAAAAGACATGCAGGTCATGATTATTACAATTGTGAATAAATACACTCTGCTTCATCTACTCACAGCTGTAAACCTAATTTTTCCTGCCCTGTGTATCTCTGACTTGGTTCTTACAACATATTGTCATCTCTATTACCCATTTTCTTTTAAATTTTTTTTCTATTTTTCTAATTACCTCCAATTTCTCAGCTATTCTCTGCTTTGTTAATAGACATTTAGATAAACACAACAGTAGTATTCTTAAGACTTATAGATTCATAAATACATATTTTATTTGCAAAAGAAAAAATGTAATTATTAAATCATTTTAAGACGTGTCTTCTCAAATGTTAAAAACTTCAATATCTTGATTTGGGAGATGGTTGTACAGGTGTATATACACACATCGAGCTGTAAACTAAAGATTTGTGCACTTTGCTGTGTACATGTTATACCTATTTTCTTAATGAAGAAAAAATCCCTGAATAGAGAGGATTCTTCAGAGACAGAGAGGAGGAGAATCTATCAATCAAACATTCAATGTCTTTGCTTAGCAGAAGGGAAAGGAGGGGGGGGGGGAGACTTATTCTCAGAATAATCAAGAGCTACCTCAAGTCTATTGGGAGGGACTAAAATTTTTGTGCCACTGAAGTAAATTAACGTAGCCATTTACTAAAGAATAATTTAGACAATGGAGTCCCAAGCTCTCTAACATGTCTCCAATCTTGAAAAGGAAACTCATGGCTTTTGTTCGAAATATTTTTCTGTTCATAGAAACAGTGATTGCACAAATAAAATAACTACAATATTGTATTGAACACACTCTGCCAGACTCTGTACTAGAAACTTCAAATGATATTTTTCATCCACCCAATCACTCAATCAAATATTGGTTGACTACTACCATATGCCAAACACTGTGCTGGACACTTTGAGATATATACTTTCACAGAAGAGAGATTTTTCTCCCTGATTATGTTATGTTTAGTGCAATATTAAAATTCATGTAAATTTTGCAGTTTGAGAAATTCAGGCATTGTTTTAAGAATAATCTGCAAAAGTTATCATTGAATTTAAACATTTGACATATACGTTGGATATGTAAAATAGAGAATCTGTTCCATTTAGATCATATACATTCAGATATTTTGGCTTAAGAAGTATGTGCGTCAAGGAAAAAAATGATAAAATTATGCTGGCTTTATCTATACAAAACTCTTTCAGCTCACAGAAGTCTAGGTAAAGAAAGAAGTATTGTACAGTATGTCCAAGTTAGTAATTTACCTTTGCCATCTTCTCTGCCAATTGCAACCGGCCATCAAGTTCCCTCCTGATCTGGGCTGCTTGTTCATCTGCATTATCCAACTTAAAAAAAAAACAATACAAAAAACACAGAATTATACATATGTGATTGCTTAATTACAGTGACCTGCAGATTACAGTAAAAACTGAATGACTCAAAACCTTTTAAAATAAATTTTCTCAGCTACCTATTCAAAGAGAACAGTGAAGACTATTTAATTAGGTTAGCGGTCCAATTAAATTTCTTGGGCACTTCTCATTGTGTTTTGGTTCACAATAAAAGTTAATAAATCTCTAAGGTTAATAGCTCAGTTTACCAAAAAACTAATTATAACAATTCTTCACCTAAACTCGTGGTCGGCAAACTGTGGCTCATGAGCCACATGTGGCTCTTTGGCCCCTTGAGTGTGGCTCTTCCACAAAATACCACGTGCGGGCGCGCATGTACAGTGCGATTGAAACTTCGTGGCCTATGCGCAGAAGTCGGCATTTTGTGGAAGAGCCACACTCAAGGGGCCAAAGAGCTGCATGTGGCTCGCGAGCTGCAGTTTCCCGAGCTGCAGTTTGCCGACCACTGACCTAAACTATACACAACTCTAAACCAGGAAGTCCTCATTTCCTTCAGGTTATTTTAAATTGTCATGAAGTTCATTCAGCTCACTTTTCTGTCTTCATGAAGGTCAGTCCTAAATGGCTCCAGATAGATACATCTCATGTTTTGTTCTTTGAAATTCCCAGAATGCATTTCTGGACTGTGAGATACTGAGTCATTATTTCATTTCTTTGTTCTTTTAAAAAAAACAGTCCCTTCATTTTTATAGCAAGTCTGTATTAGTGCCAAACTACAAAAGTACTATTTGATTGAAATAATTTTCTACCATTCAAGTCTTTATATATGCCTCATTCCAGTACCAACAAACTCACACTGCCAAGACAGCCTTCCATTCTTTCACAGACTGGCACCACATTAGAATTTCAGTCTTGTTCTAAATTGGACTGAAAGCAAGAAAAGCATGCTATCATCATTTTTAAGATATCTGCACTTACATGAAAAATTACTTTCACTTCTCCACTGAAATAATCTTTAACTTTTTCTATACCTTCCTTTAACTTTCCTCCTGATTCCTTTCCCCCCAATTATTCATTCAATCTTCCTTTATTAATCGACTAGAGGCCCGGTGCACAAAAATTTGTGCACTCGGAGGGGTCCCTCAGCCCAGCCTGTGCCCTCTCGCAGTCTGGGAGCCCTCGGGGGATGCCCACCTGCTGGCTTAGGCCTGCTCCCCGGGGGAACGGGCCTAAGCTGGCAGTCAGACATCCCTCTGGCAGCCCGGGAGCCCTCGGGGGATGTCCACTTGCCAGCAGGGAGCAGGCCTAAGCTCCAGTCAGACATCCTTAGCACTGCTGAGGAGGCGGGAGAGGCTCCCGCCATCACCACTGTGCTGGCAGCCATCAGCCTAGCTTGTGGCTGAGCAGAGCTCCCCCTGTGGGAGCGCACTGACCACCAGGGGGCAGCTCCTGCATTGAGCGTCTGCCCTCTGGTGGTCAGTGTGTGTCATAGTGACCAGTCATTCCCAGTCGTTCTGCTGTTAGGGTCAATTTGCATATTACCCTTTTATTATATAGGACAGAGGCCTGGTGCACGGGTGGGGGCTGGCTGGTTTGCTCTGAAGGGTGTCCCGGATCAGGGTGGGTTGCCTGGCCAGCCTGGGTGAGGGGCTGATGGATGTTTGAAGGCTGGTCAAGCCCCACAGTGGGGACCCTCATCCCTTGGGGGTTTGGCCAGCTTGGGTGAGGGGCTGAGGGCCGTTTTCAGGCTGGCCACAGCCAGGGGCTGGAAGCAGGTATCTGGGATTTATTTATCTTCTATAATTGAAACTTTGTAGCCTTGAGCAGAGCTCAGGGCCGGCAGGGCAGGCGGGAAGTTTGGCTTCCTCCATCGCCGGGGGCAAACTAAGCCTCCTGCTTGCTCAAGCTCTGTGGCCGCTGTCATCTTAGTTGGATTAATTTGCATATTTGCCCCTGATTGGCTGGTGGGCATGGCTCTTGGGCGTGGCTTGTGGGTGTAGCGGAGGTACGGTCAATTTGCATGTTTCTCTTTTATTAGATTAGATTATAAAACCTGTTAAACTGACCTGAGTCATGCACAATATGGGAAGCACTGGGGGCTAGAGATGGGAACCAGGTAGATGTTTCTCTGAACTCATTCCTCTCCCATTTCTATCATTAAGAGGCCTGCACCACACAATACAACCATGTCTTAGTAAAGATCCAGCTAAAGATCGAATTAGTACTGAGTACATTAAACACCCAGGAGAATGCAGATTAATTTGTCCATTTGCTAAAGAACTAAAAGCTGACCATGTTACCTTTTGAAACTCGCCTTAACAAGAAAAAGGTAAGTAGGAGCAAGCCAGGTCAACAGGATGGTGGTGTTGGAATGCACATGGAAAGCAAAGAAAAGGGAAGATGTTCCAGTAAGAGGCACCAAGTCTGGAGTTGAGACTAGACAATGGTTTGGGAAATGAAATACTTCGGGGTTGGGGGAGGGGGACTTGGGAGATGGGTCTGGAGAGAGAGGAAGGGCTACTTCATGAGCTCGTCTTCACCGCCAGGGAGTATGGAGTTGGTTCCTACATCAATGAGAAGTCATCAGAAGGTTTTACCTCTTTTGTATCATAAAAAAGAAAAGGAAAGAATTGCATGGAGCTAAAAAGTGGATCAGCTGTCATACAGCTTTTCAGCAGTGAAACACCGAGGGGGGGGGGATCAGATCACCAAGCGAAGAAATAATAAAGTGATGCTTACAATCCACCCCACAGAAAAGGTTTTGAGCAGGTGACGGACATGATCCGATCTGAGCTTTGGAAAGGAGAGATCACTCTGTCTCCAGCACAAACAGGAAGTCTATTTGTTTATTTAAAAGAAGATCTGGGGTTACCTTTCTAAAAAAATATGTTCCCAAGTTGTTTTTAAAAATCAAATCCATTTTAAAACAAGGTTAAAAATAGGCAAGATTTTTATAAACTAAATCCTTATTGCAAAGGAGTTTCTCTGTCATCTCAAAAACAAACACACTTATAAATTAAACTTTATCATAAGTCTGTATGTATATGAAAAACATAGTATATAAAAGATTCAACATTATCCATGGTCTCAAGCTATCCACTGGGGGGGGGGGGGGTGGTCTCAGAACATATCCCCTGCAGGTAAGGGGACTACTGTAATGTTGGGCCATGTAACAATGTTGACTTGAATAGCCCATGACCACTTCATTAACTTTGCTTTTTTTCTCCACTGTACAGCAAGCAGTATTGCGAAGTCTTCAGCAACTACAAAAAGTGTGTCCTTCCAGAAGTTCACACTTTATACAGAAAATAGTAAAAACTGTACGTAAAACAATATAATTGATACAAGAAAGTTACTGGTCAAGTATTGTGGGAATTCGGTGATGGAAGAGATGTTTTTCCTGGTTGACAATAACAGGATGAATTTGTGAACACTGAAATATTAAAAATGGAGTTTGAGGGGTAGAGAAAACGTTGACCTGATGCAGCAGTCTATTAGGCTTAACATACAAATCTCAAACCCTGGTTTCTCCATGCCCCACGCCTCTCATGTTCCATGGAAACAGCTCTAAGAGAGGTCTCAGAGATGTCCAGCAAATCTCTCTTTGCAGAAGTCCTGGGGAGGACCAAAAGCGTGTGTTGGTGGCCAACTATCTGACAGTTAAGAACACACCACAAAAATAGCTTTACTGAGTTTAGCCCAACTGCTCCATTTTATAACTTGTGATATTCTTGCAGTGCTTAAAAAATAGAAATATCAAATACTTGGATAAATTTAATCTCATATTTTAAACAAAAAAGATCTTTTAAGAAGTGCTTTTCACACCCTGTTGACTTGAGCATCATTACCCTCTCTGATTAATCTATTTTCTAGAATCAGGATAACTGTCTTTATATTAATACTGTCAATCACTAGACAGAGGGACTATTGGCTGTGTTTTTCCATACTGATGCCTTTGTACGTGCTGTGTCAATGTGCCCTTCTTCCGCCCATGAACAAAATCAATTCGATTTTTCTCTGTGACCCCACTCTAATTATGGTGTAACTCTTCAGACATATTATATTGTGTTATTCTTGTAATATTCATTTTTATGCTTTATTATTAAAAATACAAAGTAGACTAGGATTTGCACTGTCATGGAAATTGAGTGTTTTCCCTAAGATAAATTCATATGCTGGTCCACTGTATTTAAATTATCTGTAAATCTGGAGAGTTACAAATAATCCATCATGAACAATAACCAGCACAAACCTAACAGTGATTCCAAAAGAACACTCTACCCAACATTTTACCATATAATTTTCTAGTTGCCCCGTGTTTGATTTATTTTGACAGTGCCATATGTATGGGTTTTTCAACATAACCTTAAAACACTGACCAAAGCTTTAAGTATTAGCAAATTATTTTACCAATACACCTGTTAATTCTCCACTATCACTTGAATCACAAATTATATATATCATAAAGATAGAGCATAACTCTATCCTACTGACTCTGATTATTACTGTTGTTTCCTGTGCTAGCCCCCTCACTCTCTCAGCCCACAAGCACACACGTTGGTCTTAGCTTATTCTAGATGTCAGAGTGTCTGCAGTCATTTCTCAATACAATGTCGTAAGGGCCTCTCTCCTGAGTTCCATCCCTCCACCTCCAATTGAAGGCAAAGAATTTCCTTCAGGCACCCCACAATAACCTCAAAGTAAAACTGAACTTATCTCCTTTACTATCTACTCTTCAATCTGACCCCATTTCTACATGATTCTGACTACCCATAATCAGGCTAAAATCTCAGAGGGAGGGAGTAAGGAAGGGAAGGGAGAAGAAAAAAAGGAGAACAGGGAGTAAATGATGAGAACAAATAAATATGAATGAGAGAGATGATACCCAAACACCCTAAGCCTAGTATTCAGGTCCTCCATGTTTTTTACCAATCTAACTTTCTAACTTCTTAGATAATTCCATTATTTATACAAATTAGCTGTTTCATTATTTA